CACGTTTGTGCACACGTTTGTGCAGATATGCATCCTTACTTAATGTATGTAATATGTGGTAGCGGAAACGCGTCAGCCCAAACATCGTAGACCACGCGTTGTAGGCTGGCGACGAACAAGGCGAATCGCAAACCGCTCTCGCTTGGCGGTGGGTATCCTGCAGCAGTTTTCTCACATTCTCCTGACTGAGCTTTGCCGCCGCGATAGAGCTCAGCCAGAAGACGGTCACAAGATCTCAGGATGGTAGAGGGACAGTAATAATCAAAATTGTAGTGGGGCAGATCTAGGACAATCGCAACTCCGGGAATGATGCCAGCATACGTTATATTCTCCCATTCACTTTTGCAGAGTTGCTCACCCAGCCGGTTGATGAGCTCGTCAAATGGTATATGCCGGTGCGAGTTGTGGACAGAAACGTATGCTATAACTGTGCCCAGCTCATAGTATTCCTTGTACCGGATGTCAAAACCAGACGGCATTTATTTTGAACCGAGGTGGAGGCTGGCTGGAGGACTCCGGCCCCTCTGCTCACACGAATTGTACGGTCTGTTTGTCAAGATGCATGCTGTTGCCGTTGCTACAATTACCCTCAGCCGGTGTGATTTGTCAACGTGATGTGTCATCGAATGGATGAATGAAGTGGGGGGGAAATATTGGAGTAATAAATGCAGCTTATAGCGGCTACTTTGCCTTTTGTAGACAGTGACAGCTGGAAGTGTCTGTTTGCCTTGGAAAAAGGTCAGGAGCAGTATGAGTATGTGCCGAAGTCATTGGTGGCCCGTTATGCTCGGTTGAGGCCGGAAGGGTTGCACAAGGTATTAGGTCATTTGATGAAGTATGACCTGGTAGTGTATGAGAGGAAGCCGGCATATGAGGGGTACAGATTGACGTGGAATGGGTTTGATTACATCGCCTTACGTGCTTTCATTCACTCTGGTATAATAGAGTCTGTGGGTCCACGAATTGGAGTTGGAAAGGAGGCCGATGTGCACATCGTCAGTTTGAAAAACAAGACCTTCTGCCTCAAGATTCATCGTTTAGGCCGGACATCATTCCGGTCAGCTAAGAGTAAGCGTGGTTATCTGAAACCTGGAGAGGATAAAGTTAACTGGCTACATATGTCATGTCTTTCGGCGGAAACAGAATTCACGTATATGAAACAACTTCGAGGACACGGATTACCAACACCAAAGCCGATTGACCACAACCGACATATGATTATAATGACATTCGCAGATGGCCTGATACTTAATAAGGTTAAGAAACTTCATAAGACAGTCATGGAAGATCTTCTACAACGACTATTCCAATGTTTGGTGGATATGCTATCTCTAGGACTCGTACACGGGGATTATAACGAATTCAATCTCTTAGTCTCTGTCACGAGAGACCGTGGATCAAGACAGGGAACACGTATGGACCACAACGAAGCAGAAACAGAAAGTATAGGAATACAAGACACTCTCGATCTGACTAAGGTCAAGGCTAAGGTCGATCTTACCATGATCGATTTCCCTCAAGTTGTCACAGTCGCCCATCCTCACGCCAGGGAACTGTTCGAAAGAGATGTCGAATCCATCAGGTCGTTTTTCTGGAAGCGATTCCGGTACGAAATTAATTCGGAAGATCTTCCTTCATTTGATGACATAGTTACAAATGATATGATTCAACACCTTGCTCTAAGAACCACCTCTCGAGTTATGTATGATCAACTCATGACCCAACGGCGAGGTGATTTGGATAGCGATATTACCAGCATTGATACCGCCAATAGTCAAGTGCAATCTAGCATTAATAGTCAAGTGCAATCGGATTCATATGACCAGGAAACAGATGAGGAGGCAGACGTGGAAGGGATATGTGGAGCATCCGGGTAACCATGAATGAGGAGGATCCATTGTCTGGATCGTCTGCCGCACATTGCTAATGATCGTCTGCCTTATGGTTATTACATCACGAGTGCATCACATATATTTCTTTTCACATATACTTCTATCTACTATTGATCGTTCGGTTGGTTTGATCGTTCGGTTGGTTTGCTCATCATGGCTGTCAGTCTTTATGGCTGCCAGTCGTTGTTGATATTGCTTGAAATCTCGGATGGCACTAGGTTCATCTGAAATAATTTGCTTGATTGTAACAACAGTATCAGGATTAAATTGATCAATGATATTGATGTCTATAGGACAACAGACTTTGCCTGTTGCTTGATGAATACATAAGGGGGCTTTAAGAAGATGTTTCTTGTCTTTGGAAACATTCACATCTAACCTTGGTTGCAATAGAAATAGCATAACCCTCTCCAGATTATGATGTCGTGACGGTAATTGCCATAACTGAAACAAACAAGCAATGTCAAGGGAGGGGGGGGGTAGGGTTAGAGG